AATGAATAAGGAAAGCTTTAAAAAAGATGCATATGAGATTCGGCGTCTCAGAAGATTTGCTTGGGAGGAGTAGATTGGTTTATCAACAATGTTTGGTATGCATTTTCTCATGCAAATTTTAAAAAGATATGACTTTGTAGACTACTAATATTTTGCCACATATAAAAAATGATTTCCTCGACAACTAATGTCTTGTCACATTAAACTCACACTTGTTATGGACATTGATTTTCATACACACAACATTTGCACGTATGCAAATTACACAAGTAAACCAAATGAGCAGATAAACCAATGTATGCTCGTATATAATAGTGATTTGTATTAATAATTTACAGATTTTAGCTAATTTTATTCACATAGATGCGAGTTATTTGTTGTTTTGCAAACCAATATATTTATAGATAATATAATAGTTTTTGATTTCAAGTGAAGGCTTGAAGAAGATAGCTAAGAAATTTCGCTACGTGTTGATCGAATCTCACGAATACGCTAAAATATGTCATTCTTTAATCGATATAATTAAACCCCTCACTTCATCACAAATCTTCATTCATTCCATTAGTTAATTACGACTCTGTAGTTTTGTTTTTTTTATATTTGTTCTAGCTAGGTTTTCATGTTCTCGTGAAGGGAAGATCTCCTCTGGTAACAATTGATATTTAGATATTATATATTTTGTAATTCATACTCTTTTACTTTATAAGTATTGCATTGTGGTTTATATAAGTCTCTTAAGCCAAGTTTCATTAACCTCTGATCTACTTCCGCTACTATTTTATAAAAGTTCTAAGTTAATATATTTTGATTTATCCTTTATATATTTATTGCTAATGACTATGGTGTACAATATAAAAGGATGATAACTTTAGTTTGTGTTCTCAAAAAGTGTTGAATTCTAAACTATTAAGAAAGGATAAACATACAATATTGATGATAAAAATATACTTGGTCATGTAAGGTGCTTGCGTAATGTCTTAATATTCAATGTGAGTATCTTTTTTTTGTCAATTCTTTCTAACATATTATCGTATCTGTTCTATGTTAAGGTCAACATCCTTGAATTGGGATGTGATTCGAACCTGTGACCTCCTCCTTGGGAGTGCCACAGTGATGCCATTAGACCACAAGGTACTTGGCTCAATGAGAGTATCTACATATGAAAGAGAGACTTAAAGAGACTCACACGTAGTGAGAATTACGTTCCTCCTACCTTAACCAATGTGGGGATATAATAGTGATATCTTACTCATAAGAACCGACAAACAACTAGTATTAAATAATAATAACCTGTCTAATTTAGGAATAATTGTGTTTTGGAAACTCTCTTCTATTATAAATATATCTGTCAGGGCTTCTATTGGAGTAACTTATTCCATTAATTCAAATGGTATCAGAGCACAAAAAAAATCAATCGTTTTTTAATTCTCTCTCTTGACCTATGTACACCGCCGAAACCTCCATGCAGTTCGACACTTCCATTGCCGCAACATCCTCTTCCATGACGTCAACGGCGGCATCTACGGACACAAAGACGATAACAACCTCCTCTTCTCCAGTTCTGTCTCTTTCTTTGTAGACCAGCACCGCGCTCCATGCCGTGTCACTGCCGATCTCCTTGCAACCGCAACCCACACATCCGACGGTGGGTCTCTCGTCCGCAGAGCACTTCAGATTTCCTACTCTCTGTTCGACATTCTCCCTTTACGTTTTCCGTGGCAGCAACAGACAATCGAACTTCCGTCCCCGAATGCGTCCTTCACGCTGATGCGTACATCGGTATTCTATGGCAGCACCTTCTTTGGCTTGTCCGGTATTGCTCGACCGACGATGAATGGATCCCTTTTTGGCTCACCTATGGAAGCTTTGGCTCAACCTTTATCTCATGTCTCCGCCAATGTCACACAAATTGTGACCACTAAACTCAAAGCCGTTGAAGATTATCTCACTTGGATGACTCAATTCGAGTCATTCTTGGTGTCCCAGGTCCTTTTGGTATTGTTGATGGATCTATTTGGGTACCATCCATGTATATAGTTTATTTTAATCATCGTCAAGACATTAATATTAAATATTATCACCAAGTTCGAGTGGATCAAAGCTTCCGGTCTTGGTTGTTTGCTACACTCCATCGTGATGTTCTAATTGATAAACACAATGTAAAGCATTCTTCTGGTATTTGGGTAGATTGCAAACTAGGTTTATGTCTGCTAGTTTAGTCGAGTCAATGGAACTTAAGCATCTGTTGTTTAATGTTAAAAAGAAGGAGAATCAGACTATGGAGCATAATTTATGAGGCATCAAAATTTTAGTTGATGCTCCAGACGCGATTAATTCACTAGTGCCTAACAAGGAATTACTTCAATATACTCTTCTTGGTTTGGATCCTGATTATGAGTCCATTGTTAGCACTATCGCCTTGTTTCCTGAGAATTTGCCGCCTCATATCCTTCATCTGAGACTTTTGGAGTAAATATCGCGTTCTATTCCTTTGACAGCAGGATTAGTCCCATCTTCACCAGGCCTTTGGAGTGCAACTCAAGCCTGATACGGACAACAAGGACAGACTACGACTCACTGCGGGAGAGGAGGCCACAACAGAGGAATGCATGGTATGGGATGTTTTTATCAGCAGAGGCAACCGCACGGCATGCCGCAGGCCGCAACGGGTGCACCACCAACGAGAACTCCTAATGTTACCATGGGTATTTCTGTTTTGTCCACTTTAAGTACTAATGTTATATCTACTTGTGGTACTCATTTTGATTATGCAGGCTTTCCATCAGCTAAGGGTATCCTTGGTTCAGTCTCACCTCAAGTTGTGTGTCAGTCTGTTTCTCTGCAGGTCATTCCACCTTTTATTGTCCGTCTCATTTTTCTCATTCTTCTGCACCGGTTCTTGCCACACGTACTACAATGTATCTCACAAATGTCGAGCTTCTTGCAGATGCAATTGAGTATCGTAGTATGGTTGATGCGTTACAATATTTAACTTTGTCAATACCTGACACTCCCTTCATCCCACTAACAATGGAACAAGAGGGAGTGACACACAAACCAATAGAAAGTGGTTTATGTAGTTGATATTTAATTAATAAATTAAAGCAAGGTCAAAGAAAGAATGATTTAGAGCCACGCAAACTTTACCAAATTTGGTATGGGATAATCTTTGTGAGATGGAGCAAAAAGGTAAAATGGGACAATCTTAACGGGGCGGAAGGAGTATATTTATGCTATGCATTTAGTGTCTCAACTTATGCATACTCCCCTCTCTGTACTACTCATTTACTTTTCGTCAAGATGATTTTCAGGAATTTGCAGGGAACACTTGATGATGGTCTCTAACTACACCTCACGACACAGGCCACGTGTGCCATTGCTTAATTACTCAAATGCTGATTGGGCTGGCTGTCCAGACACCACTCATTCCACCACTAGCTTTATTGTGTTACGTTTTTGGGTCCAAATCTTGTCTCTTGGAAGTCCAAAAAGCAACCTACAGTCTCCATGGACAGCCAAGTCCTCTAAGTACTGAAGCAGAATATAGAGATGAACAACCAACTCTGTCCAGGATATACTACACATTCAACGTGTCTTATTTGAGCTTGGTTTTCCTGTTATGGCTCCTGCTAAACTTTTTTGTGATAACATCTCTACATCCTACATAACCAAACATTTTATTTATATGCTCAACCAATTGAATCATCTAAAATCAAAATCGGTCAAATCAACTAAAATGGCCTTAAACTCATACTAAATTAACATGCTCATGGTCTTACCAAAGGCCATTTAAACCAATAATTTTGCTTTAATCACATATTTGTAAAAGGCAATTATACCAATTAAGGAAATGTGTTTCAAGAATTAGGGTACCCTTGTAATTGTAGTGCACACTTTAATATTGTGACCATTGAGAAGATTTAAAAATGTGGCACGTAGAACCCCTGAAAAAGAAAAAGTTATTCGACAATGATAATGCTGAGTAAGTTTTGGTATATCGATATAATTAAGGATACGCTTTAAAAAGATGCATACGAGATCGTGAGTCTGAGAAATGTGTTTCAAGAATTAGGGTACCCGTGTAATTTTAGTACACGCTTTAATATTTTGACAAATGAGAAAATTAAAAAATATGGTATGTAGAACCCGTGAAAAAGAAAAAATTATTCGACAATGATAATGCTGAGTAAGTTTTGGTATATCAGCACGTATAATTAAGGATAAGCTTTAAAAAGATGCATACGAGATCGGGAGTCTGACAATGCTGAGTAAGTTTTGGTGTACAGTGCCTTACACTGTATTTGACTATGTTTATAAATCGATTCGTTTTCATAGACAATAAATATTTTACCACTAACAAATAATGATTGCCTGGACAACTAATTTCTTGTCACATACCATTCTTAAATAAATGCAACATATTGAATTTTACACTATTAACATGCGCTACTTTGACTACGTTTTATCTATTCATGTATTGATAAATTATTTCTATAAAAATATTGATAAAGGCGTCACACTATGAATTTTCAAATTCTAAATTTTTATTTTTGTAATAATAATAAATTAAATATATTAATTATTAACGGTCAAAGTTGTGCATTGGTAACGTGAAAAGTTGTAGTTGCATTTATTTAAGAACAATTTAAATCTGTTACAAACATTCATTTTCGTGCACACCATTTGCAACTCTGCAAATGACACAACAACAACCACAACAAAAACACAACCAAACCAACCAATTAAACGAGCGTGCATACCAATATGTGCTCACATATATGAGTGGTTTGTGCGAATAATTTATAAATGGTCCGGTGACCTGACTGAGACTCAATAAAGTAGAATGTAAATCAATGTGGAGCTAGAATATGAATTGACCAACCCAATATGTGCATGGAGTAATTATAACCGATCTATAGCTACTACTTGCCATTTTACAAATATTAATGGCGTAGTATTAGCAGGCCACCTGCCAATCACAACCATTTCGTGCCTATAAAAGGGCCTCCACCCTTCACACACATATATGTAACGAATAGAATCCTCATCAGCTATCGTCCTATAATTCCATAAATATGGATCCTATCACAATCGCAGTTTATAATCACCATCGCGCTTTGCTCCAAGCACTGATTGAAGAAAACAAGCGGCTGCGTATGCGAAAGATTATGCATGATTGCCTTGATAACCCAGCCCTGCTAAACCAGCTCTCCCGGGAGCAGTTGCTGCGCTTGCTTCCTGTCATTCACTCCAGCATTGAGGAAGTGGAGAAGAGGCAGCAAGAACTCATGGCCGCCTCCAAAACCAAGGAAGAAGAAGACCCGTCACCATCATCATCATCTGTTGTTGCTGATGATCATCATGATGAAAAATGAAAGTATGAAATGAAATGCATGCATGGTTAAGGTTGTGTTTTTACTAATAAGTTCACTTCAGGGGTCATCTTAGTTCTTTTCCTTCTATCTCTATGAATTGGATCTCATTTGTTCAAAAGAGAAAAAATAAATACAGAGTTATTATCAATAAAGGGTTTTAATTTCTTGATGTTTTTTATGGCTGCTCCTATGATCTTTCAATGGCTGAATTGCAATTTGGTGAACTTACCAAACCTATCATTTATTTCATTGGTCCAGTTAAGTCATTATTTCATCATTTTATTTATTTATATTCAAATAACAAATGGTGGGCTTAAAAAATAAAGAAAAATGGTGGGCTCGATCAGTGTTACTTTATAAGTAGTGTACTTATTTAGAATTTAGCCGGCATTCAATTCTTGTTGGAATAAAAATACGTAGTTAATGTTACCGGCCGGAATTTAACTTTTTGCTAGAATGCTGAGCACTTTTGGAATTTCTCATAAAATGGATTATTTCAAAATTATCATTCCAATTTTTGAAAATAAAAATATGAAATACTTAACCTTGAAAGCTTATACTCCGAATTCTGAATAATGAATATAGCATTATGATTCATAAAGTGTATGTATTAAGGTTTTCAAAATCTGAAACTAAAATCTCAATTTTGTTACTACATAAAATCTTTCTATTTAAAACAAAGGAAAATATTAAAATGAAAAATTGAATATCTACAAATTTTGAAAATTTAAAAAGTTATGATAATTTTGATGAACACAATGCTGTATGTGAGGGCCTTATACAAAGGTTTTAGATCCAAACTTTAAATCAATTTTCATATTTTATGTAGTCATTCATTTTTTGTTGAAAACATATACGCTAGTTATAGTCATCAAGTTTTTATATACTTACAGTTATTCTTCAATTTTCATTTTTAAGATCAATTTAGAATGATCAAATATTTCCATATACGATAGTACTATTTTTCTTTTATCATCAAAATGGCTTTTCATTAATATAGATCAAACATGCAAGACAAAATTCAGACAACTATTACAGATCTGATCGTAAGCCCTACGAATAGACTTAGAGTCAGTCACTCATACAAAGCAATTTGACTCACTAGACACAAAAGAGCAAGAAGAAGTCTAAAATGATCAAAAATGAAGTATTGCCTATCAGAAGTTCTTCAAAAATCAAAATACCCCAATCATACCTTGCTCGAAATGAAATAAAAATTAGTATTACGAAAGGAAAAATTATACGAAAATAAAAAATTTCCCCAAATTGCTTCCTCACACGGAGGTAGTTCCGGAGGAGGGCGAGCGGTTTTATATGGTAGAAGAGAATTTCAACCCCCGGGTAATTCGTCTGAAACCCTATCCGTCTTGCGCTCGCCAATTTGCTCCTTGAGATTTGCCATTGAAATTCATGCCTGACGTTCAGGGGGAAAAACTCTATCATGTTGCCTTGTGTTTTTTCGCCCCAAAAAATCCAAACTGCACCCCAGGCCACCGCCCTTGCATTCCACTCACGTTCCGAAACTCAATCACGAAGCTATTGTTCAACGAAAACCCAACCGCACGAACAAAGCTCGATCGGCGAAACAAAAAACCCTAACTACTGTAGGGAGGCGGCCGCTCCTCAAAAGAATCGATAGCGGAGAAGAAAAAAACCCTAGCGACGAAAATCCACCCTAGAGAGAAAGTCTCAAGTATAACCCATCGGTGTTTTTTAGAACTTCTAGATTTACTAAGTTCGTACGGAGAATTATTTAATTTCAATAATTTAGTAAGGTTGAAAATTTGAGTTTTTTTATAAGAATATTATAAAAATAAAACTAATTTACGTAAATATGACTATTCATTACTACAACGTAGTGTTGTGGTAACTTAAGTTCAAAACTTGAACATGAATTACTATAATTTCATTACTACTCTAGTATTTAATCATATTTTTGTAAATCATCTATATTTTGGTCATATTTATGTAATTATTTCTAAAAATTTACAGATGTGTTATATTTAGTAAACTATTATATGATCGATATTAATTAAACTTTCTAAGTTTTATCTAATTTTGAGATGCTAATATACTAAATTAAATTATAAATTAATGATTATTTTAATATTTTATTTTGCAGTCATTAATTTTCTTGTTTTGAAGCATAACTTAATTCATACAATTTTCGATGCGATTCTCATCATGAGTCATTCAAAATCAGTTGTAGGGGTAAGGATGTGTATATCTGACCCACCATAAGTGGGAGTCTTTAATTTAATTTGCACCACTAGGGTAATTTTATTGTTGTTGTAGTCATTTTTTTAGAATATTACTAAAACAAAAAATTAAAGATAAATACACTTTTATTTTTCTAAAAAGTGACACGTTACTTTAATTACTCCCTTATTTGATATACAATTTATTATTTAATATGATATTTATTAGGGTTTTTTACAATAATATTACTAAAATAAAACATATTTACATAAATATGACTATTCATTACTACAATGTGGTGTTGTGGTAACTTAAGCTCAAAACTTGAACATGAATTACTATGATTTCATTACTACTCTAGTCACTAATCATATTTTTGTAAATCATCTTTATTTTGATCATATTTATGTAATTATTTCTATTTATTATAACTAAAACTAAATATGAAACTTCCGCTTGTGGAAAAACGGTGATTGGAGGCCATCATAGTGATCAATACTAACCACATTATATTACATACATATTATTCAAATTATTTCTCAAAATATACTCAAATTATCTAATTTAATTATTGTCTAAATAAGCGTGCCATTTTGCCATGAGAACCTTCCAACGGGACAGATGTAGTACTCCGTAATTAGTAGGTATGATGTAAATTTGGTCAGGAGTATATTGCCTAATCGCCAAGGGGTTTTGATCTCAATATTTCAAAAAAGTAGATAAAAGAGAAAAAGTGACCTTTTTATTATTTCCAAAAACGTGACCTCCAGTGACATAGTGACCAAGTCCGGCCACAGTCACATCTCCACAGTGACTCTGGTCAGTCACATTGACACCTCTATAGTGACTTCGTCCAGTCACAATGACATCTCCATAGTGACTCCGGTAACCGTGACCCCGCTAGTCGCAGTGACACGCCAACTCAATCCGCCCATGGTCACACGTTGTCTTTCCATCCTACCGATGTTCCTCACAGCCCCGCCCCTAGCCTACCCTGCCATAGAGCCAATGCAGACCATCACCGCGGACCGCCGCCACTGACCACTGGTGACGACCACCGCCCCAACCCCATCTTGACTCCCAACACCCAATCACCTCCCAGCCCCCAACCCTCTTCGATCCCCCAGCTACCTCTCTAACCCCCAAACCCCCTCCGCAGCACATCCCAACCACTAGCTCCCCGGCCCCACCCCATCTACATGGCCCCAATCTCATCTCCCCATCTTCATAGCACCCCAGGATCACCCAACAATGATGCACCCTAGCCCCACCCAACAACGCTGCACCATAACCCCACCCAACAATGTCGCACCACCACCACCCAACAACACCGCACCACAGTTCCTCAAGCCTCGCCCTACCTTCCAGCCTCACCCAGCCACTTCTCTACCCCAACCCCAAATTCGATCTGGAACTCAGACCTGAAAATCAACAAACCTCCGACGAGATGAAGCAAAGAGGAGGACCGGTGGCTTGGAGTGTGGAAGAGAATGGCGCCATGGCCATACGAAGAGAGAAGCCTCTGACCCTGTGCTCAAGTTCCGCGAAGATTGACTGCTAAGAGAGAGATGGCTCTAGGCGTGGGAAGAGAGATCAATGGGTTGGGGAGAAAGGAGATATTTTAAATGGTCACATTTTTGTCCAAATTTAAATTGGTCATATTCTTGTCTATGCAAACTCCGTGAGTAATATTTTTGCAATTCTTTCAATCGCCAAACTATTGATCTCGTTTAGAAAATGGCTTATTGGATAAATTTTGAATTCCTCGACTACAATTTATGAATTTGATTATATAAACAATCAAAGTTATTGGTTGGTAAATGATGGTTGCGTTAGTTTATTGGATCCGAAAAGCAAAAATTATATTGTACAAGCGGTTAACTCTGAGGATGGTACACTTGATGCACCACATACACACCTTGTGTTGGGATGGTACACTTGATGCACCACATACACACCTTGTGTTTGGATGATGGATAAATTATTGTGTTTTTATTCAAGATGCTTGATTGGGTTATATCGACAATAATCCGCTAAATCAAGATAATTGATTATACGAGCGCTATGAAAGGTGGTTTGTATTAAACACTTCATCTTTTTTATTTTACTTTAGTACTTCGATTCTTTAAGAGACTAAGACCATTGTCTTTGTGCATACAGTGATTGTCTGCAACACACAAAAACTGTGTGTACGCATACATTTATGTCAGTGTTAAACATTCTTTTTTGTAAATCAAAATATAGAGACATTTTTCTTTGGGCTAATTTGATGACAGTTTCGGAGAAAAACTTGACATTTTTAAAGAGTAATAATGTCATCTTTATGACATTTTCAGAGAAATGACATTTTTCTACAAAAATAACATCCATACCCAAAATAGATGCTAATTATAATAAATATAGAAAGAATTTACCAAAAATATTTAATTTCAAAATAATTCAATTGCAGCAGAATAAAATAGTCTATGGGTGCTATCGCCACATTCGGCTATCTCTTAACCAAATGCACAGACTAAACCATAATCCAAAAATAATCCAAGTATTGAAGTGCTGAAATCTCAAAAGCAATTTAAATGTCTCTTCCTCCACATTTAGATTTGAACCTCTTCTCGTCCCTCATGCTTTCTTCCTTCGCAATTCTTCTAGTCTTCTTGTTTAGCTCTTTTTGCAGTTGCTGCACGCGATAGAACTTGGCATCCTTTTCATAAGCATCTTCTAGTGTCTGGCACCTCAAAACAACCACAGTCTTCTGTGTTTCGAAGTTTAACCCCCTAATGAACCTCATTGTCTTGTTGTACTCATCTGGTACTATGGTGGTTGCAAACCTTGCTAATGCTAGAAAGTTTTTGTGATACTCTTGAACTGACACTCTCCCTGCATGTATCTCTCTCTAGAATCTCTCCCACGAAAAATCAGAGCTGCAATTTGAGTGCAAGGCCCGCGGTAGGCACAATTATCAGCCTCCTCAGGAAGGTAGTATGTTGTTGCGTCAACTCGGGGCTCTTCTGGGAAATTCACCGCATCAAAGAGATTGTCAAAGGTCCTAATCTAATCCTCCAAGATCAAAGGATCTTGCTCTCCCAAATATTTCAGGGGATTCTGTCACGAAATCAACCTGCTCACGTCGTTGTCATGGTAGTGCAGCTGCTGGTTTTGGTTCAGATGCACCACTTGTGCAATGGTGTGGGTAAGTTAAGCCAGCTGGTCAAACCCTGAGCTAACTCCGCATTGGTAGAGCATTGTCCTCGCGGTTGTTCCTCCAAGTTCTAACAAAAGAGATACAAAAGTTTAGGACACTAGGAATTGCTAAAACAATTCACTAATTTCTATCTAATATCACAAGATATTAGATACTAGGAATATTCTCATAGCCATTCTCAAAGCTCATTATTTCACAAGACATCTTAGAATAATGAATACCTAGGAGCAATTGAAAAATTCCAATCAATTCACAATTCTCAAAACCAATTCAAAATAGCACAAAACACAATAAACAATTACTCCCTCCGTCCCTTATAACTTTGCCAACTTTCCTTTTTTGGACGTCCCACTAACTTTGCCACTTTCCCTTTTAAGTAAAGAATTTGTGGTTCAAGTTAATTCTATCTTCTCTGCACAAACCTCAACCACACAGTTTTTACTTTATTAATCCCCGTGCCGGTCAAACTGGGCAAAGTATTGAGGGATGGAGGGAGTATCTCACAAGCTCACACACGCCTAGGCCTTAAATTAAATTAATAAGCAGATTCGTTAGTCCTAATTAATAAAAAGATTAAGTCAATTGACTTTTTTTTGAAAACCTTGAACAGATTTTGAAAAACAAAGGTTCTGATACCATTTTGTAACACCCCAAAATTCATGCCCAAAATAGATGCTAATTATAGCAAGTGTAGAAAGAATTTCCCAAAAATATTTAATTTCAAAAGAATTCAATGGCAGCGGAATAAAATAGTCAATGGGTGCTACCGCCACATTCGTCTACTCCAAAACTAAATGCAAAAATAGTATTTAATACATTTAAAAAAAATATAATTCCTCTCAAAATGATTTCCACAAGTTCCCAAGTTAAAATAACAATTTTTCACAATTCCCAATTTCAGCTATAGTAATTAAAATAATTAGTTATTCAAAATACACACGTTCCAAAATTCCAAGAAAATCATATCATAGTCAAATAAGTCCGACATAGCCGAATCACACATAAAATTTCATAAATAATGTCAAATCATAGCTCAAAACCCTAATTAATACGATAGTACATAATAGGGGCAAAATAGTAATTTTGGTTGCAATAGTCCTTACCTCGAGGCTAGTGGAAAATTCTAAACATGAATCCTAGCTTGAGAGGTCGCTCACACGTCCCTGGAATAATATAGGGTTTTGGGATCATAATTTAGGAGAAAGAATTCAAAGAAAACGAAGAAACGAAAAGAAATCGTTAAAAACACGTTTACCGGAAGATTTGGTTGGACGATCACGTTCGTGACCTCAAAAATCCTCTTGGATTTGTTAGAATTGAAGAGTTGGAAGAAATAGAGCTTAGGAAGTCGGCCTTAGGGTTTTTGGAATGAAGAAAATCGGATTAGGGATGTATTTATAGCGCATTTTCGAAGTTGGGTCGAACTGGGCTTAAAATAGGGAATTTGGGTGTCCGCACTGTCAGCCGCACACCGAGCGGACCACGGTGCAGACCTGGCAGAACCTTAGTCGAAAATTGTTAAAGTCCGCACGACGTGCGGATGTTGCCCGCACTCTGTGCGGGTTTCCCGGACGTCTCAAACCTTAACTTTTGCTCCGTTCTTCCCCGTTTGGACCTTCCCTTGTCCCCAAATACTAAATCAAACATAATAAACTATCTAGAAAAAACGGTATGAATCATGATTTTAAATATTTCTCAAATTTTCGGGGTATTACAGCGGGAAAGGCCTCCATGTTTTTCATGTGTTTTGTAAGGAATAAATGTAATTAGATTTTGATGATGCTAGGCTAGGTTAGATTAGAATTTTAAAGTACCCCCATTTAGATTTTATGTATTAGAAATTTTCAGTTGTAAGTATTAGTGTAGTCGGCAATCAGAGTTGCTCTATGTGGATCTAATCAGAACTGTTAGGAGAACTGCTCCATGAGAGTTGCTCTTCAGAGAAGCATCAGAGCTGAGAATTGCCTTCAGAGTTGCTCTTGGGAATCTATAAGAGATGCTAGCTGAACTACAAGTATGATAATCCTTGAGAGCTGCTCATCAGGAAAGCATCAGAGTTACCAGCAGAGCTGATCATCAGAGAACTATCATAGTCCGAAGTAAAGCTTCATCAGAACTCAACTTCAGAGAACTATCAGAGTTCGAAGTAAAGCTTCATCAGAGCTGCTCATCAGAGAAGTATCAGAGTTCCATATCTAAGTTCATCAGAATCCAAGGTCAGAATGCCATCAGAGAACCTCATCAGAACTGGATGGATACTTAGAAGATTTAGAAGCTGCTTTCAACGGCCGTATAACAAACGGGAAATTCTCTAACGGCTAGGAGATATTTCATCAAAGGAAAGCATTTAATGCTCATTTAATGAGCCTGATACGTTGTGGAGTAATTGCAGATGATTGACCGAGATTCCTGGAGAATATTATACAAAAATAGAAACCTGCCAAAACTGCGGGTCCAACCGGTCAACTCCACAGTATGCGCATTCAATGCAGTTGTCTCCTCCTCTAACGGGCAGGCAACTCCCAGTATAAAAGGATACTCATGAAGAACTACCGGGTAACTTTTTGCTCTCTTAATCATTCAAAAAGCTTTCTTGAGATTCAACCTCCACAATCATCAACAAGACAAGCTTAAGTTGGGAAGATTAAATTACTCAGATCTCTCTACCCCAACAAAGAGCAAAGTTCCACTAGTTCTTCAACACTTCAAGATCTTCAAACAACAAATCTATTGTAACGAAGCAAGTTGGAGAAAAACTCTGTTTTTCAGAACATCTTCTGCAAAGAAGGGCGTCCAAGTAACTGTAGTAGTGAAGTGGTGATACTTCCGGGAAGCTGAGTGAAAGGACCAGTCATCAGGAAGCAGTGCTGCATCCCGGGTGACATCTAGGCTTGAAGAAGACGTGGAGAACTTCTTAAGTGCTAGGGCCAAAGCTTTGTAACTGTTTTCGTCAAAGCTTAGTGGAACAGTGAACTAGAGGAACGCGTTGTTCCTTGAGCCACTATAAAAACACTTGTGTCATTTACTTTACGCATTTACTTTCTGCACTTTAGAACCTAACTGCATAACTCCCTAAGAACTTGGAATCTGTGTTCAGCAGACCTTGTTCTCAGAGTTATCAGAAGGGCACTTGCCTTAGTATCTGCTTGAGGCTACCCGGAACTCTTATCCGCTGCAAGACTCAGTTCTGATAATCAGAACTCGACCCTCTCTGATAAGTCAACTCTGACTTAGAGAAAAGTTCGAAAACTTGTAACAGTCTATTCACCCCCCCCCCCCCCTAGACTGTTACCAACTCAAACGGGACCAACATGTTTTATCTATTTCATAATTATTTTTTTGAGTTTTATTTTTTAATTTTTTAAATATTTTTTTTTTATATTTTTTACAATTATATTATAAATTAAAATAGTTATATTGTGTTTATGTTTTTATTACACATAGATATAAGGTATGTAGTATATGATTTTCTTATTAAGTTATGGTAAGACACGAATAGGTAGGTAGAGACGTAGAGTATACTTTATACTTTATTTCTCCTTTTTTGGAAGATAAATGTCATAGTCTTATTTGTGCATTTAGAGTTAATTTATTCTTATTTAAGACTAATTTTCCTGAAATTACATGAAGTCCAGTTCTATATAAATTTTGGTATGCCAAAATGTTTGGTAGAGTACTGATACTGATTTTCCATATGCGAAGTACCAACTATTCGGTTATTGCAACACTGTTAAATATCGGATACATCTTACAAGAAAGGGAAAACTGTCAATGAGGTCCTCGAACTTTAATAAAAAAGTCAATTAAGTCCTTCTATAGGAGACTGTGTCCGGCCGTCGCGATTTGGGGCGGTTCCCGGTGGAATTTTTTGATAAAATTTTTTTAGCATCTTATTCATCAAGTCTAGTTTACTCATACCAAATTTCAGCTAAAAATTCAATTGAGAACGCATTTAGATTAATTCAAGAACGCAAAAATGCGCAGTTATCTTCAAGAATTAATTTTAATGTGTTCCCGATTGAAGTTTTAGCTCAAATTTGGTATGAATAACCTAGACTTGATGAATAAGATGCTAGAAAAATTTCATCAAAAAATTCCACCGGGAACCGCCCCAAATCGCGACGGCCGGACAAAGTTCCTATAGAAGGAGTTAATTGACTTTTTTATGAAAGTTCGAGGACCTATTTGACAGTTTTCCCAGAAATATCCATATGACTAAGAAGGAATACTTTTTAAATCCAAATGTATTTCTAACATCGAGTAGTCATTCATTTTTTATTTCTTGAATATATTTTGGTTTAAGAAAATCCAAATTAGTAATTTAACATTTACAAATTATTTGGAAGTAACTAAGGAGGCGTTTGGGAAAATTAAACAGAAATTTATTACTAGTATATATATATACATCCTTCCGAGTATCCACTTGAGTAACATACGAAGTTGAAAAGTAAAATTAGGCAATGTAAACTATGTAAAATATAGTTGAGTTTGAACGGTTCAAGGACTTAAAGATGACAAATTTCTAGAGTACCTTAACTTGTGTATATGGACTAATTAGAATATAACAACTCAACAATTTAAGTATAAGTAAGTGATAAAATAATGATGATATCTGCATTATAGGTATGGTGCCTTATTTATAAACGGGATACCGCAATATTCACCTTTAAAGATATGGTAAAAGAAAAACTCACTATGATAAAGAAAGAAAAATAATGAGGAAAAAATTGGGGAATGGAAAAAGATAGCGTAGTATATATCATTTGATCAAGGAAATTGGATACTCGAAAAGGATTAGTTTTACTCATGGATAGGGATGGGTGAAATTACATATTTCATTCAAGTGGAAAGTGACATTACACAAGAGGCAAAATAACTTTGAGGACAAAATTAAGTAATAACAAACACCTCATTATTCCACAATTTACTCTACCAAGACTGGAACGCTCTGCTCATTCCTGAAGAAGTTTTCAGGGTCAACTCTTGTTTTAACCATAGCCAACTGATTAAAATTGTTCTTGAAATATTTGGATCCCCACTCAAAATTATTTCTACCCATTTCATCTAATCCAATGTCAAGATCCCTGTAATTTATATATGCTTCTCTTGGAGACTTGGAAACAAAGGGAGTGGTGTAATTATAAAGCCTTCTAATCCACCCTATGTGCCTTTCTGATGCATCATCTCCATCTTCACCCCAACTCACCAAATATAGGATTTTGTACAAATTCCCAGCTCTATGAGGGAATGGAATTGCCGACTCCGAAATCTCATCCATTCTCCCGCCATACGGGCTCAAGATAATCAAGCCCGCCCGATCTTCCCCGAGGAACCTCCAAACTCCTTCCAATCCTTCTATACTCATTGGTTCCTTCACATAGTCTGATTTGGCTTTGAAGAAATATGGTTTCCCATTGTTAGGAATAGTGTTGAACAATGCCTTATAGTCTGTCACATTTTGGATCCCGTCGAAGTACAAGGTCGAATCGATCCACCTCATCTCGGTCAGGTCTTGTCTCGTCACCCCTAACTCGGGGAAACTTTCACCCAATATGGGAAGCAATTTATCAATGGGTCCTAGAAATAACGATTGGAACAAGGCGAGTGTCGATTTCGACGTTCCTAATGCTATCACTCTTATGAACAATTCTTTAGGCAACTTTGGTGCAACCGATTGCCATTTATGTACGAGGTTCGTCGCGTTTTGCTCCAAAGTCCTTCCAACATTGAAAACGGTCACGTTTTCGGTAACGTCAACCAGTTGTACTTTCCATGAAAGGACTATACCAAAAGTATTCCCCCCGCCTCCTCGGATAGCCCAAAAGAGATCTTCTCCCATGGATTTCCTATCGAGAATCGTCCCATTTGCATCGACCAAACGTGCATCGATCACGTTATCCGCAGCGAGGCCGTACTTTCGTAACAATGTGCCATAGCCTCCTCCACTAATGTGTCCACCAATCCCAATGGAGTGGCAAACTCCAGCAGGAAAGCCAAGAGTGCGACTCTTTTGGGAAATCGAATAGTAAAGTTCGCCTACGGTTGATCCGGACCCCACCCATGCGGTTTTTCGAAAAACATCAATGGTGATGTTCTTGAAGTTGATTAGATCAATGACCAAAAATGGATCATTGTTACTCCTGGTGGTGTAAGAAAGGCCTTCGTAGTCGTGGCCTCCGCTCCGAACCCGAACGCGCAAGCCAAGTTCTTTGGCGCAGTTTATGATATACTGCACCTCAAACTCTTCCCTAGGCGTTGCTATAATCAGTGGTTTGGGGGTGTTGGATGTGTTGAACCTGGTGTTCTTGATGGAGGACTGTAGGATTGATAGGAAGGAAGAGTTCGCCGCAGTGTAAATAATGTCATGGTTTGTGACAGGGGATTGGCTTTCTGATGAAGCACAGAGAAGGCAATGCTGGAACTCCTCAAGAGGATTTGATGCAGATGTTTTGTGCGAACTTAACCATAGAATTAATAGCAGAGAAATAATGACACGGAAAAATGTATTTGGAGCTTTCATTTGATTGTTTGATTATGGTTCACAATGGATGTTTCGCTTTTGCGAATTTGGTTGTCTCTTTGGCTTAGTTTTATACTGCCTAGATCTTAGGCACAATAAAAAAGAAATCCAAACTTACCTAATTGGATTATACATAAAAAGGTCTCATATTCTGGCGAAAAAATATCTAATTCTTGGGATGTTTTTACTTGATTGTTTTCAGTATAGACCAGACCAGACATAAACAAACTATATCAAACCAGACCAGACTTCCCTAGTTATATACTCCGTAATACACAGAGACCAGACGTTTACCGGACCAGACCTGACTTGAACAAATCAGACCAGAATAACAAATTATAGTCCAAGTAAAACTGCATCCTTAGGTGACTCCGCTTATAATTTAAATTTGACACGGTTTTATTTTACTTAATTATTTAGTTATTTAGCATATTAAAATTGTATTATATCATAATCTAAAATTTGCAACTTTATAAATTTTCAATGTAGTTTCTAAACTTTAATTATTAAAATCGATCAAACTATCCAATGATTTACCTTTATTTGTCACATCAACAATATGTAATGCCCGATTTTACAAAATAAGAATCACAAATATTGTGTACGTACTTTCTAATAGGTAGTATATATTTTAAAAAAAATAGCATGCAAGTTTATTATACATTCATGTTTTAATATTTTTTTATAAAAATGTGGCCATTTTATAATTGTAATTATTCATAGCATTTTTTCAAAATAATACGAAGTATATTACTTTTATACAAATGTTATGTTTATTAATCATGTGCAAATAAAAATGTAGAGTGGATAGTATTGATTGTGACCGGAATTCGATGAAAACTAGATTGATTAAAGTGAATACATTATACGAAGTACATTGTTTTTGTGTTCAGGGGATATATGGATTTAGTCTTTTTTTTTTGGGATATATGAATTTAGTAGTGGTGCATGATTGCATGAATGCAATTAGCCTTAATAAACCTAAATATCTGCTCTGTCAATATGAAAATAGCATATTTATTCCGTCAATCTAGTTTTTTCATATATTCTGAACAGAGCAAATATTATTCACTGTGCATATTTTTTAACACGCAACTAACAAATGTCTCTTACTTATGAAAAACGGTTTATTTTATTTTAAATAATAATAATAACTACTACCTCGAGTCCCATGTGTTTGAGACAAAAAGGTGTGACACAACTTTTAAGAAAAAGTGGAAATGTGTAGTTGATATCGAATTCATAAAGTGTAAATAAAGTAAAAAATATAAAGTGTAAATAAAGTAAAAATGAATTGTAACCACCTAAATATTACTCTCTCTGTCCTGCTATGATTGTCTCATTTTACCTTTTCGCTTCGTCCCACTAAGATTGTCTCATATCTTATTTGGTAAAGTTTGTGTGGTTCTAAATCATTCATACTTTATTCTTACTTTATCAATTCAATATCAACTACATAAACTCACTTTTATTAATAACTGTGTCACCTTCTCTTGTCCCAAACTTAGGGGGATGAAGATAGTACCAAATATTATATGTGATAAACTTAATGAGACAGTCGAAAAAGGCGAAACGAGACAAATTTAGGGGGACGGAGGGAATATAACTTAACAATAAAAAAAATTGGATGTACTTTTTTGGTTAGCGAAAAAGAAAATAATATTTGAGTGGCATTTTCTAAGTTTTTATGAGTTTTCTTATAAATTTTAATAAGTTAAGCTTCGGGTGACATTTTCGTGATGACATTATTTGGTGGGCTGCAATTTATGTTGCCTCTTGCACTTGTGGACACATGGTGGTCTCTTTCTTTTCTATTTCTCTCCTTTTATGCGAAAATTAAGGAATAAAACATTTTTCCATACATTTTTAACTATATTCATATATAGCATCCACTTATTGAATGACATAAAGATATCTATTTTCTTAATTAACCAATAAATGAATGCTAACGTATGGATGTAGCCATGTAGGTCGATAAAGTAGGTAAAATGTATGCATTAGCTTTTTTTTTTACTATCCCCTCACCTATACCTGAGTATAGAGGGGGCGAATGTACAAATTTGGGATATAATAACTCATTTCTCTCTTTGGACTAAACTAACCTTCCAATAAAAAAATCGAATGCATTGTCCCCAGGAGTAAATAAATGCCATCTTATAAGTTCTTAAAAATGAATGAGTCTACTAACGCTTGTTATTAGTAATAATGTCGCAAGCTAAGGCTTTGAATGTGTTTCTTTAATGACTTTTTATTATATATATGATCCTTATAAACCACAAGTAGATACACGGTGCTTTTATTGTAAGTAGATTCATGGTGCTTGTGCATAAGGTGCGTTGTACTATAAATTAATTCTATAAACAAAGGAAAATATAATAATCTAAAATCTAATCTAAATCTAATATAATCTAAAAACATTATATTTTTGAATGGGGGTTGTAACCCTTAATTTGTGTCAGTACACTATATGCGTGAGAAGTTGTACCTTGTTCTGAAAAAATGGGACTTTATTTTTCAACAAGTATCATCTACCCTTAAGCGCCGTGAAAAACTCCTTCGTTAATCCTTGATAAAGATTCACTTTAGTAGCACGTATCATCTACTGATTAAAAAAACATTATTTATAAAATATACTCCCTCCGTCCCATAAAATAGTTCCCGCATTGACTTGAATCAGAGTTTAAGAAAGTGGGAATAAAGATGAAATAATGTATGATTGTGGTTGTGTAAGAAAAAGGTAAATGAATGTGAGCCACACAAAACTTTCCAAAAGAGGAAATGAGAACTATTTTTTGGGACGGCCCAAAAAGAAAATCGAGAACTATTTTGCTGGACGGCGAGAGTATTTTATTAAATAAATAAAGAAAAAATTATATGTAAAAATAGCTAAAGTGATCATCTACAGTAACTTCAGTCAATACTGGCAGAAAAGTAACTCTAACCTTACTTTTTCTGCTTATTACACAATTCAGCGCGTAAAAGCAAAATTTACGTGTTTGGTGAAAAAGTTAGCTGATAAGCCTGATAAGCCGAAAAACAGTGTTGTCATATGACCTCTTACTATGCATTCTTAAATCCTAATTGACCACAATTGATACACAAGGATAGACGGAGACAAGGCGATAAATGTAGGGGTTTTGTAAGAATATTAGTAATTAGAAATTTATAAACAAAAATAGGACTACTTTCAAATGTATCAAAAAGGGATCGAAAACTGTCAAATAGGTCCTCGAACTTTCATAAAAAAGTTATAAAAGATGATTTTATAACTTGAATACCCCCGCAGTTAATTACAGTTATATAGTCCGCACAGTTACAGTTACACTAATTACACTTACTTGATTTGACCAATTATAGTTACTCGACTTCTCAATTACATTTACCCGGCCCAATTAGTTACAGTAATCGGACCCGACCATTTATAGTTACCTGACCCGACCGATTAGTAATAGTTACTCGACCCAACCTGTTACGCTTACCCAATTGGATAGTGACCACCGCCGGCCACCATTGTCGGGCACCACCTTCGACATCCGCCACACCCGACTCAACTCCCCAGCCCCCTCCCATCACAATGGTGCTGCCCCGGCCAGTCACCGCTCCTACCAGTGACTTGCACTGCAAGAAATTCGCAAATTAGTGTCGGATATTTGCGTCGGATTTATTTTGTGCCGGTGTTTAGTGTCGGATTTTAGTGTCTGATAACAATCCGACATTAATAGGTGACCGCAATAATCCCTCGCAGTTTTTTGTCTGAAATTTATGGCAGAACTGGTTCCGTCACTAACTATTGGCGGATTGTGATCCGTCACTAAAATTAAAAAAGTCAACTACACCTTATCCCAACATCGGGAACCCATGTTACCCACACAAATATTATCTGCTTATCTCTCTACCTGCTCTTTTCGAATGTAGCATCTCAGGCCTCAATTCAAGGTTAGAATTTTACTTACCAATAACATCAATTTTAGTTTTATATTTTATTAATTAGGTTTATGTCATCCTTGTATATCTAAACTAAAAATATGAAAAACAGATGTTTTATTTCTTTTATGTAGAGAATATGTTTTAGTTCTTTAATTTTTTTTTTTGTAAAAAAATTGGACTAATCAACTAAGTAAATATATGTTTCGTTTGAGTAAAAGTTTAATAATTTGTGTTCAATTTCAAATGATATATTAATTTGTGTGTAGTGACTTTATTTTATATTTTTATAATTTATGTGATGACATAATGTATGATTAGGTTACAATATTAATTAAATTATAGATGGAGAATATAATGAAATAAGTTCTTTACTCATATCCAACACGATTTTATATAGTTATTACATTTGTATGAATAAAATGAAATAGTTCCTAAAATAATTTAGACAGATGCATATGTAATATGTAATATTATATATTTGTATGTGTAGATCTAAAACTGGGCGAAGATAGATCTTGGATGTATGAAAGGCTTGCAAGGCGAGGAGTTTTAACTGAAGATTTTAAGGAAGGGGTTACACAATTCATCCAAGTAGCGGTAAACTTATATCCTAATGGTGTTATTGCGTGTCCTTGTAGAAAGTGCAAGAACAGAAAATGGTTAACATGGAATATTGTTAGACAACATCTATTTGAAAAAGGATTCGTGGAAGACTACTTTGTATGGGAAGCCCATGGGGAGACACATGACTCAAATGGTTTAGTTTATTTGGATCAAAGTAGTTCTCATAATAATGCATCTGCAGTGCAATATGATCCATACAAATCGATGTTAGAAGATGCAATAAGGAATGAGTGTCCAACGGATTTTCACCATGGTACCAATGTAGATGGTGATCCTAGTCCCATGACATCAAAGATGTACAAAATGTTGGATACGATGGGTCAACCGTGTTTTGATGGATGTCCAATGACGCAGTTGAGTGCGATGACAGAAATGTTAAACATAAAGACTGAGATGAATTTATCAGAGGCTGCAACTGATAGAATTTCTCAATTCGTGAATCATTTTTTTCCAACAAACATCGCAAATCGACCCATTCCAAATTTCAACAAAATCAAAAGAGAACTCTCACTGCTAGGAATGAGCCATCAATCCATTGATTGTTGTCCAAACGGCTGCATGATATATTGGAAAGCAGATAAGGAGTTAATACAGTGTAAATTTTGTTGTACTGCAAGATACAACATTAGCGCGCAGACTAATAAACGTGTTCCACTAGCAAAGATGGAGTACTTTCCACTCACACCTAGACTGCAAAGACTTTATGCTTCAAATACTACAGCGGAGGATATGAGGTGGCATAAGTTTCATCACAGGGAGGAAGGGGTGATGTGCCATCCGTCAGATGCGAAGGCATGGGTTCATGTTGACAATCTCCACCCAGATTTTGCTGAAGAACCGAGAAATGTTAGACTGGGTCTATGCACAGATGGGTTCCAACCTTTCGGGCAATTCGGACAAAAATATTCATGTTGGCCTGTAATTGTGACGCCATACAATTTGCCTCCGGGTATGTGTATGAAACAACAATTTTTATTTTTAACTATATTAATTCCAGGGCCGAGGAATCCAGCAAAGGGGATTGATGTTTACTTGCAACCATTGATTGAAGAGCTCAAGGAATTGTGGGAGGTTGGAGCTATAACATATGATGCGGTTCTAAAGCAAAATTTTAATATGCGAGCCATTCTGCTATGGACAATTAGTGACCTTCCTGCATATGCCATGTTATCAGGATGGAGCACAAAGGGAAAGTTTGCATGCCCATCATGTACCGAGTTCACCGAAGCATTTTGGCTACGTCATAGCAAGAAGCATTCTTGGTTTGATAACCACAGGAAATTTTTACCATATGACCATCCATTTCGGTTAGATGATCATAGCTTTACTAAGGGTAAATCTATCTTGTATGGCCCTCCATTGCACAGAGATGGTTCATATTGTTATGATGAGGTGAGTTCCCTAATGTCTGTGACAGAATTGGGAGGTATAGAGTATAATGCAATTGCTGGAAAGAATATCGGATGGAAGAAGCGTAGTATATTTTGGGATCTCCCGTACTGGAAGGATTTGCTCATACGTCACAATCTTGATGTGATGCACATTGAGAAGAATTTCTTCGAAAATATCTTCTATACAATTTTGGGAGTACCTGGAAAGTCAAAGGATCATACACAGGGGAGGATGGATATGGAACAAATTTGTCATAGGCCGAGTTTGGAGAGGGACAATGATGGTAAATACCCTAAAGCTCCATTTACCCTTTCAAAAGAACAAAGGGATGTCTTGATCAAATGGATTGATTCATTGAAGTTCCCAGATGGTTTTGCATCTCGACTGGGGCGGTGTGTGGAAATGGATAAGCTTAAGGTATTTGGTATGAAGAGTCACAATTGTCATGTCTTTATGCAACGCCTACTTCCAGTTGCCTTTAGAGAGATGTTGCCTGATCGAATTTGGGAGGCAATTATTGAGATTAGCTTATTCTTCCGTGAGTTAACAAGAAAGACAATATCAGTTCCCGATATTGAGAAGTTAAAGGTAGATATTCCTGTGATTTTGTGTAAGCTGGAGAAGATTTTTCCTTCCTCGTTCTTTGACCCTATAGAACATGTTGTTGTCCATTTACCTGATGAAGCTTTGCTTGCCGGACCTCCACAATACAGATGGATGTATCGTTTTGAAAGGTAAGTGATTTTGTTTTTATACAGTCAAGATGTGTTCATAATTAGGTGCTTATATAAACATGTGATTTGTATTACTCACTTTCTTAATTTTACTATTGTTATAGTTTTCTAGGATCAGTGTTGAAGACGAAAGTCGGAAACAAAGCTAGAGTTGAAGCTTCTATCAGGGAAGGTTATTTGCAAAGTGAAATGGGCACATTTGCAAGCTACTACTTTCCAGACGATGTACCCACAAAAGCTCATCGTGTACCTAGATTTGATGACGGTGCGCTGATCAATGATGATGCCAGTGTTTCCATTTTCGCACAAAAGGCAAAAGTAATTGGTGCTAGCTCCCGGCGTTACATGGACCAAAATGAATCTCATGCAGTACATTCATATGTATTGCAAAATTGTCCGGAGATTGAACCATTTAGAGAGTAAGTCAAACTACTATAAATTTTTATTATTACACACATGAAATGCATTGTTATTACACACACACACTTTTAATATATTTTCGGTTCCATTACAGAGCGTTCATCAACACGACAGGATCAACAAGTGATTGTGACACCATGTTACAAAAACATTTTCCTCTTTGGTTTTACCACCATGTGAGAATTTGAAATTAACTATTTTTTAAATGAATATATTTTTATGTCATATATTTTTGATAAAAATTGTTGATTAACTTTGCTTATATTTAGGTGCAAAATGACATGACAGACCATCCACGGTGGGTTCGTGCTTTATCAGGGTTTCCTTCACCCTATGTGACAACTTACCAGACGCTTAATATAAATGGTTATAAGTTTAACACTGTTGCACGATCTGAAGACAGAACAACCTCAAACTGTGGGGTTATGGTGAAGTGCACAAGTTATGATGGATCAACACTTGAATACTATGGCCTAATACAAGAGATAATTCAGTTGGAATATCAAGATTACAAGGTGATCGTTTTCAAATGTGAATGGTTTGAACCTTCTAATAGAGGTACACGAGTCCATGCACAATACAAGATAGTTGACGTGAACATACAATATCGATTACGTACTGTAGATTGCTACATTTTAGCATCCCAGGCTGATCAAGTTGTTTACGTGTCATATCCAAGTGCAAAGAAAAGGGTCAACAGATGGTTTTCTGTTATTCAATGCATGCCAAGAGCTTTTGTGGAAAAAGACGGGGAAGGAGATTCAAATGACGAGGAGGAACCATCACAAGAGTTTCAAGAAAATGAACCGGGAATATCATTCCAAATTGAGTTAGATTTTCCAGAGCTACAAAGAAATGATGGCCACTCAAGTCAATTGCTCACATCCACCACTCCCGTGTACATGGACGATGCATTAGATGGGGCATATGATAATGAGCTCGTTGATGACGAAGACAATCAAGATTATGAAGGAAATGCTCAGGTTACATATGATGATGATGATGTGTAGAATGGTGACAACTATGATTTTTTAATAATTCGTGTTTTTTAGAATTTTTAATTATTCGTGTTATGAAAACTGGGTGTCTCGATTTGTTGCTACAGTATATTTAAATTGGTCTCTGTGTATTTTATTATTATTTCATTTTAAAATTTTGAAATATTATTTAGTTTTGTTAAACTAATAAACTTCTGTGCATAAAAGTTTATCACAATTTAGCAATGAACCTAATAAAAAAAATAAGTAAATCAAAATCTAGGAAATGTTAAGTCCTAGCTCAATAGTTTTAAATCATTCGAATCATATATCGATGCATTTCATTTTTCGAATCTCGAATCCATAAATTCATATTTTATGTCCCAGACCAGACCAAACCAGACCAGATCAGACCATACTACACCAGACCAGACTTGGATAGTTATAAAATACAAAGAGACCAGACTAGACTAGTTCAGACCAGACCAATTTTTTCGGCTGTAACAAAAACATTAGGCTGGTTCCAAAAACTCCCGCTTCTCCCTCCAATTTTTTCAGTATTCCCTTTTGTGAAATTTTAAACTCCCTCCAATTCCAACCTAAATTCCAAGACTCCCTCGCCTCAGGCCCAAAATCTTCCTCTTAGCCCAAAACCCTCCTCTTAGCCTCAGGCCGCAAAACCCTCCCTCGCTTATTCTGAACTTAGTCGCAGACCAGCAGCATCCAACTCCAATCGCTTATCTCCATGGTCAAGGGATAGAGAATATACGAGAATGCTTATGACTGCCTGCTAGAGATTATTTGCGAAGTCTCTACTCCAGCGCACAAGGTAATCCTCATGGTCTGCTATTTCACTTCATCTAGAAAATTTCTATGCACCGGTAATGCATTTATCCTTATTTTTGAGTTTCTCTTATCATTAAGACCGGCCTCTTATTTGTTTTTATTTTCAAATTTCATTTCCCTAAGCAATTTCCTTTGAACTGGAGGGCCATGATGGTTTACAGACATGTTTACTAGACAAGGAATTGATTACTAAACACATAATGGACATCTCGAGGCTGTCCAAAGCCCTGCTGCTCCTCTCTACTTTTTGCAGCTCATTAGTTATCAAGAATTATGAGTATGAGATGTATTTGGATGTTCTTTAGTCTTTTAATAATATGAAAAATGAAACTCCTGCTTTAGAATCATTATAGATATATATTTGTCTCAACTCGAAGGAAAAAACCCAGTTTTGACAGTGGATCTTACTCACAGTTCTTGATGTGGTAGGCTAGTTTGTGTTTCACATAAAAAAAAAGGGGGGGAAATGGAAACTAATAATCCAACCTTTTAGCGGTCTTCTTTCAATAATCCCACCTTTTGATTATTCATGAATAATCCAACCTTTGCACCTCATCTTCATTCATTGGTCCCTGGTCGGTTAATGACCTACTATTTCAAGTTATTTTCTCATCTTTGCAAAATATTACCTTTGTGAAAGATGAAATTTATGGTATAATGATTTGCAAAGATAAGAAAATAGCTTGGAATAGCAGGTCATCAACCAGGCAGGGACCATTGAATGAAGATGAGGTGCAAAGGTTGGATTATTCATGAATAACCAAAAGGTTGGATTATTGTAAGAAGGCCGCTAAAAGGTTGGATTATTAGTTTCCATTTTCCCAAAAAAAGGAATTGATTACTTGTGTATGTTTCTTTTAAGGTATAGACAGTGTTAAAACTTGGCCATTCAAGTGTTTGTTAATTTGTCTAGATGACTAGTACACCCTGTAGCCATTCACAATCCATGAGGCTGTTAGTTACTAAGCCTGGATACACTAAACATACATTATTACTAAAATATGCATGCCAAGTGTTTGTTAATATGCCTAGATGAGTACTTCCCCTTATAGCCCTCAACAATCCAATGTGATTAAATTAATTCTAGATTGTCTCATTACTTTATTAAATTCTAATACACTATGCTACCTCTAACTGTAGATACTCACTCATTTAATTGTGAATGCTTAATTATTTAGGTAAATTTGGTGATATAGAAGCACAAACACCATGTTTCCAACCAAAGGACTGGGGGTGCCATATCAAAGAGCAGAGAAGGTAGTATCCATAAAAAACCAGCCAGTGCAAGCAACTCGAAACAGTCAGCCAGTCACTCCACACCGTCGATGAGTCACTCCACACCGTCTACCTTACTTGGAGTAAATGGAAAAAAACCTACCTCCCTAATAGGGAAACCTAGGCAACTTCACCAGCCGCCTCCATCCCAATATAATCGGCCTCGTGGTGCTAGACCTATCATTTCACAACCGACTAAAACACAAGTCATCCCAACACCACCAAATTACCAAACTTTCTCCAACAACAACCAATCTTCATCACCAGAAATGGACGGTGATCCACTAGAAGGCAGTGATTCCACAGAAAATACAAATGAAGGTGCTGAAGAGATTCCCACTGATTGGAATCCAGAAACATATAGTCATCTTAATTGGGGTAAAGCACCTTTAGACCCTTTCAAACCAGTTTCACTTGCAAAATTTGAAAAGCCTAATGTTGGTGTAAATGTAACAGGGAAGTAAGTTTCATTGTTTAGCTTAAGTACCCTTCTTTACATTTTTTTATCTGAAGTGATGTTTCTAATGTTTCTAATTTACATGCAGCCTGACAAACATAATTGTCAACAAAACCAGTTTAAAGTTTGCAAGAATTATCGGTAAGCAAGTCACGTATAATTTACACCCGGCTGGCCAGAGATGGAAATGGGTGCCAGATAAAACAAAAGATCTTTATTGGGAGCAGTTTCAGGTTATTTGTGTCTGATAAAAAGATATTAGTTATGTATTTCAAATATTCTATAGTTTCTAATATAAATATTTTTATTTCACAGAGGTTAGTTACATGGGATATCACGAAATTCAGTGTTGAACAAATAAAAGAAGGTTATGAAACTTATTTGAAGGAACAAGGCTACTCCAAGATTATGACACGAATAAGGTATCAGAATGAATGCTTTGATCAACTTTTTTCTAATAATCATGCTATCTTTAAATGTACACTGTTTACTTGTAAACTATAAAGGAAGCGTCGCCCTGCCACTGTGAATAATTTTACTTGGTCAGTCGTTGAAGAGTTTCAGCGGTCAAAACAGTTTCTCATAGCTTCAGTGTCCGGGAAAAAGAATCGTGAAAAAGGCGGCGATAGATGTAAGCAACACGGAGGATCTCAATCTGCCGTGGATTTGGCTACACAGGAGGTTATATTTTAATTTCATATAATGTTAGCATAGATATCATGTATTTAATCCAAAATTTAATGACATTGTTAATTTGTTATAGTTATATGAAATGAAATCTAGTACTTTGTTTCAGTTGATGCTCACAGGTAAAGAAATAAACCCTGTGAAGATGTATGGCAAATACCATCCAAAGAAAAATAAGAATGGAGAGCTTATTGTTTGTGACTCAAAAGCTGCAGAAATGGTATATACTTTTCATTTAATCATTTTAATTTCAGATTGTTTATATACCTACTAGTATAGTACCCGTGCGATGCACGGGTACAAAAGAAACACATATATTAATATACAATTGAAGATTATATTAACTTTAATAGAGATTGTAACTACCATACGATAAAAAAAGTAAAATAGTATGAGATAAATATATTATTAGTAGTACTAAAAACAAAACCAAAACAAAACACATTTCATTACCCTTGCTTTTTATGTCTACCTCTACCTTAGCTGGTGTGTGATGATTGCAAATGGGCATATAATCTTAATGATTGGACGGTTCTTTGTACTTATTATGCATAGTGAGTTCTCAGTAACTTTGATAGTCAAATGGTTTTATTTGAAACCTTTCAGCCTACTGGTTTATGTATAGAGTAATTTATGTAAGTTAAATAATCTATCAAATTGTAGTCAATAACTATAGTTTATACTTCATAAAAATTTACAGAATAGATTATATTCAGAGTAAGTAATTCACATGGTTACTGCAGTCTTATTTTAAGGATTAAGTAGATATCATTATACTACATATTATATACTACACAGTATCTATTAAAAGAACATATTATGTGCATCATGGAAAATAATGTGCAGTGCTAACATGTAGTGTTTCACATTTTAATTAGTTGTGACATCTATCTCTTGTGCCACATGTAGGACTGGTATGATGGCAAAAATCTCACTCATTATGGAAGTCCATTTCCTCTTGATTTTTGGCTTTCGGTGATTTGAAGAAATGTCTTTTTAATTGGACTGAAGAGACTGCAAAAAAAATATCACAGTATATAGCTAAATAATAACCTACAAAGCAGAACTTAAAGTGATGGAATACAGATAAATGGAATGTCATCATCTAACTGCAAGTATTAATTAGCATTATAGAACTGAAATCAATATTGCATGTATTCGGAACTGAAATCAATATTTAACTCTGTTTCTAGTTAAATACGGAGTCTAATTTGTACTACGTATGTACTAGCATCTTGGACGTGCGGTTATGGAAAGATAGTGGGACTCGTGTACATCCACATGTGCACTACGTTGGTATAATTTTAGACAATAAATATACATGGCGGGAACAGTTGTTATCTCATGATTCCGTTTTTAAATTATATTAATATAGATAGATTATGAGAGCAAGAAAAAAGAGTTTTGGATTGAAATTTCAGTTGCTTTTATTAGTTATGTTTCTCCAGATTTGTGAGGCATGAAACAACTGGCTTTGATTTCTATATTCAGTCATCTAGTCCATCTTTCTTGTTTTACATCTTGTATAATTTGCAGCCTGTTATATTTGTATAAATTTTTGTGTATAGGAAGTTGTGGATAAATTGTGTGCTGATTTTGAAGATGATGTCCAAGAACAATCTCAATCTTCTGCTCAAGAGGAAACCTCAAGGACATCCAATGTTACATCTTCTCAATTGCATGCCAAGTACCTAGAAGTTGTTGGTTGCAAAAAGAGAAAAGTGCGTGGAACGGGAAGCTATTCAAAGGCATTTCTTCATCATGTGAAGAATTCAAGTGCAAAACGATCATGTTCAAAA